CAGCGCACCTTCGCTCCGAGGAGCGAAGGCGACACCGACTCGGAGATGACTCCGACCTTCGCGAAGGACTTCATCGGCGAAGACTCGCCCGCGACGTTGCCGCCGCTCGCGTCAATGCCGTCCTTGAGCGGGCTGGGCTCGCTCTCGGGCGGGATGCCGACGGCCTTGGCGCCGGCCGGATCGTCGACGGTGAACGCCTCGGGCACGGCGTCGAGCGAAACGCCCGCAAAGTGGACGCCGGCGAGCGAGCCGGCGGGCTCGCCCTCGGACGGGACGTTGCCAGTGCCGGTGTTGGCGGTGCAGGTGCCGCCGGTGCCGGTGTCGATGCCATCCTTGAGCGAGACGGGCTCGGAGGGGATGCCGACGGCGTTACCTCCGTCAGAGTCGACGACGGCCGTGTTGTCCGCCAGAGACGCCTGTCAGCCACAGAACGCGAGAGGGTCGTCTTGCAGGGAAGGCGCAGCGTTGCGTGCGTTGCAGCGGTGCGCGTGTGCATACCCCCTCCCTCAGCCACTGCAAATTAACGCACACCTGCTTGTCAGCAAGCGGCGGCGGAGGAGAGAGCTTGAGCACGAGCTTGTCACCGGCGGCCGGCACGAGCTCGAGTTTGAGCATGTTGATCGAATGAATTCCTGCAGAGAGTCAAGAAGCGGTTGAGGGTGGTGTCCCCGATGGGAGGTGCAGGCCAGCGCTCGAGTGGCCCTCGCGGCTGCGGACACAGAGTCTTGGCACTCTCTAGATGTAGCAGAGATGCGAGGCGGTGCGAGTACCCGCGTAAGAGAGGGAGGGCGGTCGGACGGGTTCGCGCGGGACAAGGGTGTGGAATGGGCAGCAGCGGACGCGTCTCGCGGCCTCCTCGATGGCAGCGGCTGTACCTGCGAGCGGGAGTAGGCAGGCGGTGCGAGGCCGAGGGGGGTGCAGCCGCTCGCGCCGCGAGCGAGGGCGCATCGCATGGTAGGGGTGGTGAGGGGGCGGCGGGTTCCGTGAGCAATAGGCGTCGCGGGGGTCTAGGTGTGAAGCTCGCGGCTGCATAGTCGGGCGCAATGCGGCGCGGCAAGCGCGAGCGGACGAGGAAAGTGCTGGCTTTGCCTGACGACTCGCTCTCTCCGCGTAGAGCGTTCACGCAGAGAGAGCGGAAGAATTTTACCGGAAAGATCTTCGAGTCACCGTTCACAGTTGTGCGGTGAATGGCGCGTAACGCCACAGCCCGAGCCCGAAGGGCGAAGGAGAATCCCACCCCTATCCAACAAAAGTATTCCGTAGCACGATCGAGGGGAGATCTTAGAGAGAGAGGTAGGTAGGTAGGTAGAAAGGTGAAGAACAGCCAGGCTCGGACTGGACACCAACGCGGAGAGAGAGAGATTTTAGCTCCCCCCTACCCGGTTGCACTCGTGCGACGTAGCGGGGGTTACCCACGACTACGTTTACGAAAACATAAGTAGTCCCGCGAGGTGTGAATTTGGCCGCCCAGTTAGCCCCCTTTTCCAGTCAGGGGTTTTTTCGTGGCAAACCTCGTCATCCTGCTGAACAAGCTCCTCTTGTAGCTCGATCGGTCACACCGCCATCGCCGTCGGGGAGAGGGGGGACGACACTGCTCTGGCAGCGTCCAAGGGACGTCGCCCGTGAGGGATGTCGCCCATTAGGGATAGGGACGTCGCCCTTGAGGGACGTCGCCCGTGAGGGACGTCGCCCGTGAGGGATCTTGCCCGTGAGGGATCTCGCCCGTGAGGGATGTCGCCCATTAGGGGTAGGGACGTCGCCCTTGAGGGACGTCGCCCGTGAGGGACAGTAGAATTGTACGACTAAACTTTGCTGGCTCACACACATAATGAACAAAACATGACTGACTGAATCTCGGCACTAAACATATCGAACAAAGACAGGCCGCACTAAGGCAGGAGCGCGAGCGGATTGTGCTTCGTAGCGCCGGAGCGCCCGCCCCAAATGGCACTGCGTGCGGTCGTCGAAATGCAGGTCGTTGGTGAATTCACGAGCCCTGTTCTGAGACCGCGAGCCCGGCGGTTCGAGAGGAGGCGGAGCGCCGCAAGCAGGCCATCACCGGCGCCCGCAACGTTCTCCGCGAGGGGTTGCGCAACGCACCGCTCCTTTAGACGCCTTCCCCTGCAACGCCCTCCGCTCGCTCTGTCACACACACACTCACCCTTTGTGCCTTTTCTTTGTTCATTAGTGTCAGTGCGCCTTAGTCCCTCGCTCGCGCCGTGCGGCCCTGGTGTGTCTTTGTTCAATATGTTTTAGTCCCGAGCTTCAGTCAGTCAGTAGAGTGTTTTGTTCATCATGTGTGTGTGAGCCCAACAAAAAGCACGTTTGGGTGATGGTTGCGAGGGGGGGGCGGCTCGCTGTCGCTCGCTCTTTCCAAAAGCAACAGTCGACCCTATCCAGAGCTCTCCGACACCTCGCAGCTCCCAAACGACATCGATCTCGGACCTGCCGCTTTGCAGGCGCCCTCAGGGTGCACCGACGCTCGCCTCCTCCTCTCCTCAGGTCCGAGATCGATGTCGTTTGGGAGCTGTGCCGCGCGCTCCTGTCGCCTCCGCGAGCGCCTCCTCGACCCGCCGCGGGGCCCGGGCAACGGCCTCGAGCCGCGCTGGCGATGCTCGGCCTGCCTTCTGGCACCCTATCGCACGCACTCCCGCCAGCCGCGCGCTCCCGCGCCGTCGTGCGAGCTTCTGGCATCATCCGTGCGAGATGCGGCGTCGCGTAGCGACGGCCACACGCGGATCAGCTCGGTCACCTCGAGCGCGCTCGCTGCCTGCGCGCCAGGCAGCGCTCCTCTCTCGTCGTCGCGGCGACGAGTCGGGACGACGCCGTCGCTCGAGGCGCGTGGCCGGCGGCGCTCCTCTAGGCGGCGCTCCCTCGAGGCGCCGGGCCGACGTGACTGGGGCAGCTGCGGCGCACGACGGTGCCCAATGGCCGCCTCCGCCGTCCCCGGCTCGGCCTGTGGATCAGGGCAGCGGTCTCTCAGCTGTGCCGTCTCTGAACAGACACACTCGAGGACACGCGCGCGCGACGCTCACAGCTGCGTGTGCCGGCAGCGGTGGTCAGTCTAAAATGTGTCTTGGTCAGTCTGACGGGCCAAAATATTTGAGGAAACACATTTTGCTGTCCTCACGCACTCACGGCCCGCGCATTGCGGCTCCGCCGAGACCTTGTTGGCAAAGTTTGATCGCACGCGCTCGTTCCCAGATCCCACTAAAATCATCACGGCCCCGTAACACCCCCTCCGCGCGCGGTCAAAGGCTTCCCAGGGCCGGTCTATGGCATGAACCGATAGACACAAGCAAAAACAACCGCACCTCTAAGCTTCTCGGGCACCCCGAGGCCCATACGGCGCCCCGGCGGGCCCCGGCGGAGGTCCGGCGCGGCGCTCCAAACGTCCGCACTCTTCGCGAGCTTCTACGGGAGTTCACGCGGCCTCTCCGCCTCGTGAGGCACACCCCACACCCACCACGAGTCCTGGGGCCGTGGGCGGACCTTTGGCCGCGGCGTCCGGAGCTTTGGTCGTCGAACATCGGCCGCCAACTAGGCCGTCGAGCGAACGTGTCCGGAAAGGCTCTCTGATGGGTCCGGCAGCGGTCCCATGGACCCAGAATCTCGCCCCGGCCGAGCATTCACGGCTCGGCCCCCGCCCCTGGTCACCCAGACGTGCCCTTGGACAGCCGTAGGGGCTCGGATGACGACGTTGGGAGAGAGGGGCGCCCGCGACGACGCCCTCCCCGACGACATCGCATCTGGCGCAGACTACTCGGGCGCGGCGGCGCGGAGGATCACATGGTTTGGAATCCCCCAAAACAATTAAATTCCGTCTCCGGAGAGGTTTCGGGATGTATGGTTCTTGCACTTGTGCAAGACGCCGCTCCGAACGACGGTGCCAACGAGAATCGTCAAAATCAGCCACCAGCACTCGGTGCGCTTTGCTCATGCTCCCGCGCCCCCCGCGCCCGAACCATGCACGGGCCCGGCTCGCCCGCTTGGGGATCCACCCGGGACACCCCCGCCGCCCACCTGCCGGCTGACCTGCCGTCGGTCAAAGCTTGGTCGCCCTCAACTAAGGGCGTAGACGCCCTTACCTCAACTGTCAGCAACAGAAATCCACCACTTTTGGGACTGCCCCCTTCAGCCTCGCCTACAGCCGACCTTCTGGTCGCACGCGGGTTCTTAAGGGTCGCACATGCCGGCCATGACGTCTTCCAACCGGCTGTTCGCAGGCGGTAGCCTCGCACGACCTCCACAACTCCGAGAATGACCCGCGCGAGAAAGTGCTCGCGGCGGCGCACTTTTTGGGCAGGCTGTGACTACTGCCCTGGCCACCCTGGCCTCCCTCGAGGGGTCGCCAGGACCCGCCGCGGCCCTGGCGTGGCCCACGGGGCGGCTTGATGCTCATCGACGCCTTCACCCTCGTCGGCCTGGCCGGAAAATACGCCAGCCGCTCGGGTGCCGCCCGCCTCCTAGAGGCCGAACCACCAGTGCTGTGAGTATTGACGCCCTCCCTGCACCTCAGGCGCGTCCCTCGCCCTCGCCGCCGCCGCCGCCGAGCCCACCGCCGCCCTCGCCGCCGGCGCCCTCGCCGCCGCCACCGTCGCCGCCACCGCCGAGCCCGCCGCCGCCGTCGCCCCCTCTGCCGGCGCCTCCTCCGTCCTCGCCACCCCCGCTGTCGCTTTGCCCCCACCATGCCCACCACCGCCGTAGCCGCCGCCGCCCAGTCCGCCTCCGCGTCACCGCCGCCTCCCTCGCCGCCGCCCCAAGCCCGCCACAGCCGCCGCCGCTGCCGCTGAGCCCGCCGCCGCCGTCGCAACCGCGTCCGATTCCGCCGCCACCAAGCCCGCCGCCTCCCTCCCCCCCCGCAGCCCTCGCCGTCACCTCCGACATCTCCGTCTCCGCCGCCTCCGTCACCGCCACCACCCTCGCCGCCGCCACCATCGCCGCCGCCCAGGCCGACACCCTGAAAGCGCCACCGCCTTACGGCGGCTTGAAGCCCCCCCCCGGGCCGCGTTGCCCCTGCGGCGCTTCCCCCTCCCCGCTTTAGTAATATGGCAAAAAAGCAAGAAGGCGTTTGCCCCACCCCGTCCTTAAACCCTTTCTCA